TCCACCACCGCCCCACTCCCCCACTCCCTCATCCCCACCCCACTCCCCAATGACACAGCCCCCATGGCCCCACCCCTGGGACCCCCCATCTCCCAGGCCCCCCCTCACCGGCTCGATGTCGTTCTCAAAATCCTCGTCCTCAGCCCCGATGATTGCCACGCTGGACCCACTGTGGGCGCCTGGTGCCGGGCCCTGGGGGCAGAGAGAGAGGGTGGGATGGGCCCCATGGGGGAGGGGCAGGGGCCCAGAGAGGGCACCAGGGGGAACAGAAAGGGGGAGGGATTGAGGAGCCCAGGGGAGAAGAGCCTTGGGGAGCCCCACCCCCAATTTTAACCCCCGACCTGCGTGCGGGAGGGGGCTGGGGCCAAGCAGGCCCTTCAGCAATAGGGTATCGGGGACCCCTCCCTCCCCCCACCACTCACCCCGTTGTACGGCTCGTCCAGATCCATCCTGCCCTTGGGGGGCTCCCAGCTGCCGGCTCGGGGGGGACCCACCTGCCAACAACACCAGGGTACGTCACAGGGGCGCAGGCAGCAACCCCCGGCACCGATCCCTCCCTGCCCCCCACGTGCCTCGATCCCTCCCTGCCCACATCCCTCCCCGGCCCCGATCCCTCCCTGCCCCCATCCCTCCCCGGCCCCGATCCCTCCCTGCCCCCCAGCCCCGATCCCTCCCTGTCCCCCCCCGGTCCCGATCCCTCCCTGCCCCCCACGGGCCCCGATCCCTCCCTGCCCACATCCCTCCCTGTCTCCCCCCGGCCCCAATCCCTCCCTGCCCCCGATCCCTCCCTGGCCCCCCCTGGCCCCAATCCCTCCTTGCCCCCATCCCCCCCCGGCCCCGATCCCTCCCTGCCTCCCACTCCAGTTGAGCCTGTCTCAGCCCCCCATGGGAAAGGACACCCCCCACTGGTACAAACCGCCCTCCCCCCACAGGGGATGTGGGGGGGCTGCGCGTGCTTGGGGGATGTTTAGGTGTACTGGGGGATTTGGGTGTACTGGGGGGGTTGGGTGTACTGGGGGCTGCGCGTGCTTGGGGGTGTTTGGGTGTACTCGGGATTTGGGTGTACTGGGGGGGCTGGGTGTGGGGGGGCTGCGTGTGCTTGGGGGGTGTTTGGGTGTACTGGGTGTGGGGGGCTGCGCGTGCTTGGGGGTGTTTAGGTGTACTGGGGGATTTGGGTGTACTGGGGGGGCTGAGTGTGGGGGGCTGTGCGTGCTTGGGGGGTGTTTGGGTGTACTGGGATGTTTGGCTGTACTGGGGGGGCTGGGTGTGTGGGGCTGCGCATGCTTGGGGGTGTTGGGGTGTACTGGGGGGGCTGAGTGTGAGGGGCTGCGCGTGCTTGGGGGTGTTGGGGTGTACTGGGGTGTTTGGCTGTACTGGGGGGCTGGGTGTGGGGGGGCTGTGGGGAGCAGCGGGGGCCGAGCGCTCCCTGTGTCTCCTGCACACCACACGCTCCTCGCCTGGCCCGACATTCCAGCGCGAGCTGGAGGTGAGCGCATGATGAATACAGGGTCTGTGTGGCACAAAGAGGCTCAGATCCCTGGCCGGGCGGGGGGGCTCCCGGCTGCCAGCTTGACTCACGCCACACCCCCGGGACCGGGCGGGAGCCCAGAGATGGGCGGGGGCGTCTGCCGGAGCCTGCAGAGCACTAGCCCAGGCGTCACTGCCCCCCAGTGGCCGGTTCCGGAATAGCGACTCCCCCCCAGCACCAGCCGGATCCTGTGGCGGTCAGTTCCGCAGGTCTGGCTGAGCACAAGAGCAGCCGGGTGGGGGGTAATTTCATCCCCTCTTCTCTCTTGGGGGGGTGGAAATTGGACCCCTCGGCTGCTAGAAAATGTCAGCTGAGCGGGGGGCAGAGGGAGCAGCAGGTGGGGGGAGCTGGGGGGAGCTGGGGGCAGCAAGTCGGGAAGGAGGGGGATGGGGAGGTAAGGATCGGGGTGCACGGGAGGGGCGGGGAACAGCAGCCCCCCAGCCTCCCCATCTGGTACCTGCCTCCAGGCGATGCCGAGATGTGGTTACAAGCAGCAAATCCCCCCTCCCCGGGGGCTGCAGGGCCCGGATACCTGGGTTCCTCTGCGCGCCCCTCCCTCAACCGGAAAGGCGGCTCCGCTGCGCTGTAACAGAGAGCCAGGGCCCCCGATTATTTACAGCGAGAGACTCGGAGCCTCGGCTTCCTGCAGGAAGTGATGAGCCCGGCCACATCCCCCCCGGCCCGACCGACCCACAACCCCCTGGTGCCAGCCACTAGCCGGGCCCCGACCCGCAGCCCCTGCTACCCCCACCCCCCGCTCTGCCGGTGCCCCCCACTCCCGACCCGCACCCCCTGCTACTCCCACCCCCCGCTCTGCCGGTGCTCCCCACTCCCGACCCGCAGCCCCTGCTACCCCCACCCCCCGCTCTGCCGGTGCCCCCCACTCCCGACCCGCAGCCCCTGCTACCCCCACTCCCCTGCTCTGCCGGTGCCCCCCACTCCCGACCCGCAGCCCCTGCTACCCCCACTCCCCT